TGCTCTCTGTACATATGAGAAGAAGAAGAAGATGGACTCCAAGGGTTTGATGTGCGGCCTCTCTCTCTCTCACACACACACACAAAGATACACATGGACCCATATGCTCCCTCTTTAAATGTACGAAGAAGATGACCTCCAAGTGTTTGATGCGAGGTCCCTCACTCTTGTTGGGTTTGGTGATAGCCAAATCACCACGCCCATATGTTCTTCTAAAAATTAAGGGTATTATGGGAAATAGAAAATGGACTTTTTGGGAAGGAAGAAAGTGATATCTTTATAAGAGAGTAAAGGAAGACATAATACCCATCCTTTGAGGGTCACCCCTTCGGGGGTTATGGGAATGGATCTCCAATATGGAGATAAGTCTCCAAAAGAGAGAGACATGGCCTTCGAGAAAGAGGCTGTATTTCCATGAGTTTTGGGTTGGTTAACTTCCACTTCTAGAGAGAGAAAATCTCTATGTTGCTCTCAAAGTAATCTTTCCGATAACGGTATTGCAGTGGGAATGAGGTTGATCGACGGTGTTGCGCGGTCGGGAGAGCGGGTTTAGAAGGGAAGATCGGTGATGGTCTTTTACCGATGTTTAGAGATAGGCATTATCTCTTGTAACCCAAACTGTAATCTTCATTATGATAGTGGATTTCTAGTTGCCGAGGCCGTGGATGTAGCCCTACGGGGTGAACCACGTAAATTGTGTGTTGTTGTGGTGTGTATTCTATGTTTCATTTATTTCTCGCACTCGATTTATAGTTGTATTCATCTACTTCTCATTTAGCCAATTGAGTACACGATCTTGGGTGGGATCCCGGTATTTGGGATTCCCGATTCCGCAAGCTCAGGGGTTCTCGAGATCCCTACATCTCTCTCTCTCTCTCTCTGCATATCCTCCAAGTGTTTGAAAGGTACAGATCCAAAAGAAATAAAGAGCAACTTCAATAATTTCATGCGAGACCTCACGCACACACATATGTGCCCATGCACATACACACACTAGACACAAACACACACACACACACACAGACACACACACACACACACACAACCAAAAAAAACAACATATGGCCCTCACCCCAACCCTCTTTCCTTAGGGTCACCGAGGTATGTAGGCGCCCGCCTTGGCTCCTAGGCGGCCGCATCCGCCTTCTTGAACATCGATTGAGAGTTAAGACTTGAGATCACCCCAACCCTCTTTCCTTAGGGTCGCCGAGGTATGTAGGCGCCCGCCTTGGCTCCTAGGCGGCCGCATCCGCCTTCTTAAACATCGATTGAGAGTTAAGACTTGAGACTTGAGCCACTGAGTGCATTGCTTACCTTTCTCAGTTTAGAAGTCATAACCCTTTTGTTTTTGAGCTCAGACTTTAGCTTTGGGTGTTATATAATATGTAGCTGCGATTAAAAACCTAGAAGTACTTTCGGTCATTACATGTTTTCTCATGGCTATTTGACATTTTTAGGTTTTAATATACGGGTGAGGCCCCAGTTCAAAGGTCATTAGGTCAGTCTTACTTGATCCCCTCCTCTAGCTCTAAAATGAATGTTCTCTTTGAATGGATTAAGGCTAATGCCTTTAGGGTGCCATGACCCCGAAGATCTTGTATTTGAAGTGCCATTAGCCAAGCTGAGGATTCAGCGAGGTACTTATGCCCAGCCACTGCTTGCCACTAGTGGTTCGCTTGTATGGTAAGAAGCCACCACCATTTTCCCAATAGGGCAATATTACATTGCCTTAGATTGCAAATGCCAAGATCCCACACACATTTTAGAAGACAAATGGTGTCCCATGCTACCATGTGGAATATGTGATTCTCACCTGTTCTGGAT